ATGCTCATTGTGGGGGTATTTCTATTCCTTTCCTAGTTGTTTATTCCTATCCTGAGGCTGTGATAATGGATTTGGCCAGGTGATGGCGCCATCAGAACTTTCCATAATAAATGATGACGTGTGAAAAACGTTTTGTCAATATTATACTTGATACAGCAAAATGGCACTGTGTACCTCCACATATATGATGTTTAGGGAATATGTAATCATTACTCAATAAGAGATGCCGCAGGATATATGATGTAGAGAATGATTACTTCTCTTATATCGTTGCCATTATTAGCCATATAGCTAACTAGAATAAAATAATGGAAGACCAATAGATTGACACAAATGCTTTTGCAGTATGTCATTAGTCTACCATTTAATGGTGACTTTTGAAAAGAATGGGTCCGGCACAGTTCCTCTCTATCCAGGTCTCTACGGTATTTTCCCTACTCAGGTGAGAGTTGTTTTGGCCAGCCTTGGTTTTTTCTCACTGAGGTTGGATCAATACATTTTTTTAAAGTGCTCTCTGATACATGGACATTTAATTGAAAAAGCACTTTTCAGGCGTTGAAGCCGAAGAACTAAATGATTGTTGCCATCTCAATGCTACCGTCTAGTGGCATGAAAATGAATTATTGACTAGGGTGCATGAATCTTATGCAAATATGACTTGTGTAAAAAAGGTTAGGTTGACTTACAAGTAATCACCTTGTTCTAATCATGAGATATGACCAGTTTATGAATATTGAAGAGGTAGCCTGGGCACCAGACTGGAGAATAATGAGCAACAAACATTATAGGTCTAGCAGTCTACTGTAGAGAAAATACTATCCATCTATCCAACAACACTGACTATGATGGTTATACTTAGCCCTTTTTTTCATAAACAATTATGGCAGAATGTGTTTTGTAAATGTGCACCTGCATAATTGATTATGCGTGTGAGAAAAAGTGAGGTGAGATATTGAGTGAGAAATAGAAGATACTACTATGATCTGTATTTGTGCGTAGAGAATGGCTACACTTTACATTGACTGTTCTGTTGCACAGGGTCCAAAGAGACTCCAAGGTCTTTCCCATTTAGTATTCACTGCACAGTGATAGCTAAGAACTGAATTATTCTCCAAGATCTGCAGTGAGAGCAAGGTCTTGCTTTGCCTGGCTTAAACGTAATGCAGCCAGGGCTATGGAGGAAGAAGAGATCTGGACTATTGAAGCAGCCAGATTGTGACTGGATAGAATCAGGTAGGCTTATGTTCCCATCAAGCAGGGGAAATGCACTCTCACATTGTATGGCTGTTGGGTTGTGATTAAAGTGCCACAGTGTGTTTCTTGTAGCTCTACTGTAGTGTGAATAAATCCAGTCGGTTTCTGGCCATGCATTCATATGCCAAATAATAGGACTTCCTGTCGGCTGCTCATCTGTCTGTCTGTCTGTCTGTCTGTCTGTGGGTGGAGAAGGTGTGAGCTCGAATGATGCTCCCCAGTGTTTCTCTGGGAGGTGAGCTGGATGCTAGCTGCTGGGTGGAGGGTGGCAGCTCTCTGACAGGCAGAGAAGTCAGGCTGTCAGTACTGAAAAAGCCCCCTCTGCCTTGATATGACAGGCACAGTATAGGGTCTTAAAGGCAAGGTACCTCTCCCCCACTCCTTTACATAGAGCCCCAGAGGGTTAGTATGAATAATGAATTACTCCTATGGTAAGTACCCTTGAGGCCCCCTCTACTGTACCTACATACTGTAGAATTGTGTGCTGGCTGTAGGACAAGTGGTCAAGTACCATCTCCAATTCAAAACAATTTCTTTGTTCAAATATAGCCAAGTTTGTGGCTCCTATTTAATTCAAGCTATTTTCCACAAATTGATTTTCAGAGATTCTAAGAATCCAATCCCTCTTTCATTTGCTCAAATGATTTATTTTAGCTCAATAAAATACCCACGTCAATTTTTCAAGAAAATGGGACTGACCTGAAGTTGGTATTTACTTTTCCAAGCTCTGGTTTCTGAGCTCTAAAGGCATCAATAATGGAGATGGCCAAATCAATGTTAGCAATTACCCAGATTAATGGACAACAGTTGGACAATTTCCCAGAGATCAGTGTTGACCTCTGACATCAGACTGTGGGGGCCCTGTTCAGAGAACCACTCCAGGCAAAACCGATACCATTTTACACTATTCAATTTGCATGCTAATGCAGCCTAAGCATGATGAGTAGAGTAGGCTACAGGGCTGGGTTGGGTCTAGTGCTGCTTACCCCGGCAGACAAATCACCTCCCCAATAACCGCATCAGACATTGGCTCCAGTGTAAGAATGGGAACATGGAGTGGAGTGGCCATGAATTATGAAACAGAAGATGCTTCAGTAGAAAATCCACTGTTAGCTTCATTGTGAGGCAGATGGGCCAAGTCAGCGTCAAGGCCGTCTATTCTATTGGTCTGAAATATTGTAAAGAATAATATGCATATTTTAGATATTTAGTCATTTAGCAGACGCTCTTATCCAGAGCGACTTACAGGAGCAATTAGGGTTAAGTGCCTTGCTCAAGGGCACATCGACAGATTTTTCACCTAGTCTGCTCGGGGATTAGAACCAGCGACCTTTCGGTTACTGGCACAACGCTCTTAACCACTAAGCTACCTGCATATCTGTAAGCTACTAGTGTAACATATAATCAAGGCCTACACATTGTAGCAATGACTCATTTATGCTAATTAAAAAACACATTATTGCTGTAAAAGAATCCAGACAAATGTATTTCCATCAGTTGACATTTTAATGTATAGCAACAGTACAAAGTGAATCGTTTGCTTGCAAAATAGGAGTGTTTTGTATGTACAATATTTATACAATAATTTATTGTTTAAAAAAGATTAAATGCTAAATTTCATACAGTGTATTGCACCACACATTTATAAATTATCATCATAAAAACGTCACACATGAAACATTTAACACTTAAACAGGACATGGGTTTTCTTATTTTGTTTTAACTATTTTACGAATATTTATTTGTGGAGTGCCCTCCAATGTTGACCAAAATGACCAGGGCCCGGTTTCCCTATAGCGATGGAACTAACATGCTGACCACACCGCACACCTTGAAAATGAAATGTATTTCTATATAAATGAAATAGGCCTATAGCCTACTGTTTATATTTTAATGCATCCATCTCAGTTTTGATTTGAAGCATATTTTAATACGTCACTTGTTTGTATCAATTGCAAAGACATTGGCAACTTTGTATTTGTAGTCAACTTTGTTCTGAGGTTATCCGAGGCCACAGAAACGGATAAACCATGTGATTCTATGTTTACTGGAGATATTCTATGTATAAAGTGACGCGGGAGGGCAAAAAAGCATCTAAGGACGCATTTAGCTGTTCTACGAGTGGTCTGAGGCAGGCGTTAGATTACGAGCGTTTCCAAGTACAACGTTTATAACGCTGGTTTTGGGAAACAGCTTAGAGATTTAATGATGCTCCTACGAAGAAGGGTCTAACGATTAACTATGCTTTCGTGAAACCGGGCCCAGAACAAGTAACTGGTCAAAATGACTGTAGAATAATGGAGAAATCATCAAGTTCGTAATGAATGATTTCAATGCAGATAAACATAACAAACAGAAACCCTGAATTAAATCAATCCTATGGAGAGCCCAGTTTTATAATGATAATCTTTAAAATGGCACTCAGTGAATGCAGCAGCAAAAATAATTTGTCATTTGAATATGTTAAAATCAAACCATTTAAAAAGCTATTCTCTCATCTTGACCTCATCTTTTAAAAACGTTAATGGGACATATTTAAAAGAAAGGTACATTCTACTTGAGTTTCCACCTTTGAAAGTATGCTATTTAGAAGCCTGAGGATTCTCTGAAAGTATAACACACAACAATGATATACTGAAATTCAAGTATCATGTTCAATGTAAACATTGACTGATGGCTGAGAGGTCTCATAAACCAGGAGGAAACTGATCTGACCCACAGGAAGTGTAATTAATCTTCCAGCTCTATGGAATGATTCCCGAAGCTCCATTTGGCTACTTTGGGTCACTGCTAATATACAGTTGGTTAAATAAATGGCCTAGAAATCCACTTCCCTCATTTCTGTCATCCCCAGAGTGCCTTAATAACTTAAGACCACCTTGTTAAACTTTTCTATAAGTAATTTCTACTTTGTCTACAGGGCATTTTACATAGTATGAAACATGAGAAACTTTTTGAACTAAGAGCAAGGGTCAACAGGCTGAAGTGATCTTTTTAAATAAGGGATATATTTTGAATGGTTTTCTATCCAGATTTGTTCTCTTTACAAATGTGCTTAATTCTGATGGCTTAATTCAATTAAATCTGCACTGCAGTGTTTACACAACAGCATAAATAAATTCAAATAGACTCATAGAAAGGTTTTGGGCTCCAGATTACCTCCCCTCGCAATGCATCCAGTTTCCAGATTTAGGCACATGTTTGCACAGGCAGTAGGCAGAGTTACTGTGTAAACATTGCTAAGGCAGATTTGATTGAATCCAGCCCAAAGTATGCCGTAATGGAATTGACCTCCCTCCCTGTAATAAGAGCTTTGTGTGGCTTTTTATGATAGAGTGCTCAGAGTGTGTCTGGTAAAGTGAGTGTCAGGCAGCGTGGAAACCAAACCAAAATATTCTGCTACCTTGGATGACCTGGAGATTTTAATGTCACCTAATCGCAGAGTTCACTAACCTTCATAGAGCCTTCATAAGGCTTCATAAAGGCTTTATGATGCAACATTAGACTTGTCCACTGAAAAGGAAATGTCAGTCCAAGGCCAAGGCTATGATATGCATGTACTTTTGTTTTTGTAGTACTGCTTAGTTGTCTCTCATTGCCTGCTCATCCCTTACACCTCCACATGTCGCCCCATTGCAGCCGACAGAGAGAGGACAGCAGTGTTTGGTGAATTTGCTTGTCTATCTGTGCTCTTCCCTTGTTGAGCACTCAGGCTGAATTATTCTGTTGTTCAGTTCCCTTCACCTGCTGCTTTTGGGGCTGCTTGCTCTTCTGGTGTAGCATGTCTCCACAGACATGGCTGCGATGATCTGCTCCACCTTGTAGGCCAGCCTCTGCTTCTGGGCCTGATCATCCTGCTCCAGGGCCTCAATGATCTGACACATATACATACAAGACAGACATAAAATCAGCAAAGCAGGCAGGGGAACACAAGGTTACTGTACTTTGTACTGCAAATACCCTCCTGTTACTACAAATAGGCAGGCTAAGGGATACTTTAACTTACTTTGAATCTAGATGCCCCTGTTTTGGATGCCACCCTAGCCCCCTACTGTATTTTGTAAAGATATTGATGTATAGGGCCTCACCTCTTGGCTGTACTTGCTGACGTAGCCATACATCTCATGGAGGGCACTCAGCACATTGAACTCATTGGAGTGAAGGCGGGCCTGCTCGGCCAGGTAGGCATTCATGTCCTGGTCACTGATGGCAGGTAGGCGGTTTATGTCCGCGTAGTACCTAGAAGGAGACAGAAACACACTGTACTGTCAGCAGCCATCAGGTCTGGGGGTTTGAGCTGTTCTGTCAGCCAACATGTAACCTAACGTAGCAGGTGTAAAAGAAACACCTGAAACTACATACCCCACATTCTGGTCATGACGAGATAAAAAAAAACTGTTGATAGGTTCTCTTCTGCACTGTTCAACCAATCCAGTAAATGTGGAGGCGGAATTAAGATGGAGTGTTGCCTTGTTAATATTCCGGATTGAAACAACTTCAGAGCGCAAGCTAGCAAACATGTCGTTAGCTGCTACCCACTAGGCACAGACGTCAATTCAACGTCTATTCCACGTTGGTTCAACATAATTTCATTGAAATAATGTGGAAACAACGTTGATTCAACCAGTGTGTGCCCAGTGGGTATATGTTTCACCGGGGACTGTTAACAGTGAAGTGCATGTCCAAAAGCGGAAGTCGTGTCACAGGCTCTCTTCCTTTTCCCCTGAAAAGCAGATGTCTCCGATTTTCTGCCGATGGCGCTGAGGGTGGCCCACGTGTGACTGTAAGCTATAAAGGTAGTCTGGACACTAAAGTCAGTCTTCCTCTGTGATTTCAGTGTAAAAGAATAACTAAGAATCTATTAATAATATCACATTTGAGTGATGTAAGTAAAACACACACACACTCATCTCACCTCTCCACCCAGCTCTTGTAGTTGGGGATGTCCTTGGCATAGAGTAGCTTGGTGGATGGGGAGTCCTTGCCCAGGCGATGCTCTGAGGTAGAGCAGGAGTCCATGAAGGTCTGGGCCACCACAGACAGACAGGCATCTGTGATGCTGCTTTTATGGATGTCAAACACAAACTGGGGGTTCTTGATCACGTTCACCCAGAAGCGCAGAGGCAGGCTGGGGCAGAGAGAGGACGAGAAATAACAGTTTATAGACAGACTATATATTGAGACGATCAGCATAAAATCATTATTGCTTTCAAGTAGCACATTAAATCTGCACTCCCTCACCAGTTGCTTTTCCATGTGTGGCGAACATCCATGTCATGGATGCCGTGCTTGTCAGCCTGCTCGTCCAGGAAGTCAAACATGTACTTGATGGCGAGCGGAAGAGCACTACCCCGGCACACAGTGCTGAACAACGTCTCAAACAGGTCATCCACAAACTTCTGCAGCGTACCCTAAAGAAAACACCACAGCAATGTTAAAAACACACCATAGCATTGGAACAAAACTACTGAATCTGTAATTGCTAAGATGCTCTGGGGGGAGAGTGAGGGAATACCTTAGTAGCCAGTAGCCTGGTCAGGTATATCTCGGACACCATCTTGGAGCCGCGCTCACCCTCCTTCTGGTCCCCATGGTCGTGGTTCTTGACCAGGTGCCACACTTTCACCCCACTCTCCATGTCCGGGGTGAGCATGGGCACACGGGAGTGAGGGCTGTCAGGACTGGTGGGGGTGGAGCGGAACGGTACATCTGCAGAGAGAGAGCGAGGGACCCAGACAGTCACTAAACATTATCTCAGTAGGTCCGGTAGAATAATGAATAGTTAAGTGAGTGGTTTGATGGTGAGAGTGGCTCCAGGGCAGGCCTGACTGACTGACCGTATCTGCTGATGCTGCGTGGGAAGCTGGCTGAGGAGGGCAGGTTGTACGAGGACATCTGCTTGGGCACCAGGGCCACCACACAGCGGTCTGACACCTGCAGGATTCATACGGAAAACACAAGGGTTCATGTCAGTTTGACCCACTCCCAAATCAACATTATTGGGTCAGAACATGACATTGATATGATGAATTTGGCCCGATGAAGACCTATAGAAGTTATTCAATTTACAATTTGAGATATACAGTATAATGAACTTGAGCTTAGGGGGTAGGCCATGGTGAAGAGGTGGGTCTTTAGGCGGGACTGAAAGATAGTGATGAACTCAGTCACAGATGGCTGGAGGGAGGGAGCTCCAGAGCCTAGGATTAACCCTGGAGAAGGTGCTGTTGCTGAAGCTCTGGAGCCTGGTCCTGGACACGAGTCACAAGGTGGCCTGCTGTGGTAGAACGGAGTGAGTGTGTGGGTTGCACAGGTGGTTGGTGGCACCTTAATTGGGGAGGACGGGCTCATAGTAATGGATGGAAATGAATATTTGGAATGGTAAGTGAATCCCACCACAGGAGGCTGCTGGAGAGAGGACCGCTCATAATAATTCCGTTCACTCCATTCCAGCCATTATTATGAGCCGTCCTCCCCCCAGCAGCCTCCTGTGGTGGGTTGGTAGGGGATAAGAAGGTCAGAGAGGTGTGCATGCCTTTTGCAGTAAAGCAGGCTCCCAGCGTGAGCAGAATTCACTGCTGCTGCTCTGCAGGAGCCACAGACCGGGCTGTCACAGAACCAGGTACGCAGCAGAGAGACTAAAAGTAAGTAATCGAGGGAAATTGTTCACTTCCTTGATAGATTTGATCAACACATTCGCCTCTTTCAAACCCCCTTCCTGGTGTGGCAGCCAAAGTTGGGTGTCTTTGTCTCTTGGCTTAATGCAAACATGTTTTACACCCCAGAGTCAGAGCATTTGTGAGTGCAGAGTGAGATGGCAGCTGACTCATACAGAAGATGAGAGAGGTGGATCAGTTTGGTTTACTATGGCCAGAGGCAGCATTGAGCATTCATGTTAGTGAACTGTGTGATGGGGATTGGAGAGAGAGTGAGTGGGTTGACCTGATAGTGCATGAGGGTGTTGAGTCTCTTCCAGTCGCCTTCAATCTTAGTGGTGATGTCTTCATCCTGCAGGACCACACGTGCCGTCCTCCCCTGGCGCCATTCTGTTGGGGGAAAAAACACAGGTGTGCATCTATGAGTCCCTTTTCAAGGTTCAATAAGTCAGACACAAGCAGACAGTGAATAATCACGTGTTTATCTCAATATTAGTTATTGTATGGCATCCATTCATTCTGACTGGAGCCAGTCTGTCTCACCCAGGTCCATGTCCGCAGCCCGAGGCCTCTGGGAGAAGTGCATGTTCCTACAGACAGCATCCAGGATCTTCTCCTTCACCTGGGTGATGGTGTCACAGTTGAGCACCTTGACGGGGAACTCGGGGCTGTTCTCGTTGTCTGGGTTCACACAGCTCAGAGTCTGAGGAGGGACCCGAGAGAGTGCTGTCATTACTATCCACTGTCCCTCTCTTTAAATTGGCCTACTGGCTGCATGGAAAAGGCTCTCCTCTCCTTGTGTGCCATCTCTCTCACAGCTTTGGCCAGAAATGTAATTTCACACTTTCAGCTGGATGCCGGGTTGCCAGCTCTAGAGGGGCATTAAATGGGTAATGAGAAACTACCTCTCCGGCAGGGCGATCAGAGAGGTGTCATCTTGTAACTGGGCTGCTCTCAGGCTATTGCTTGGGGGATGAGCCACACTGCTGCTGCATCCAACTTCTGCTTTAGCTACGGACCATTTTCTCCAGTGGCCAAGCAAAAACTGGGACTGTGTAGCCTTGATTAGATAATCTCTTTTAACTCTTAGCTGATTATGTCACTGAATAGTGTAATATTATTTGTATCATCCTTTGGCTCTTTACTGTTGTATTATCTAGCCAATGAATTCTCTCCTATTCAGAGCTTTAACATAAGGGCACTATGAGTTAATGGTAGGCTCGCACAGCATGTCGCCTACCAACTGTGGTGTAAGCAAGCCTCTCACTTTTATGGTGTTAACTATAATTAAGAAAATATTCCAAGTGGTTTTAATGGAATCTGACATCTAAGACAAATTGTTGTATGGTATGGTGACTCACCAGGGTCTTGTATTCAATCTGCTGGCGGATGAGTTTGTCTTCACTGAGGGAGTAGCGAGCCTCCCCGGTGATGCAGTCTATAGGCCCCTTCTCCATTTGCTGCTTTATGGCACAGTAGAGCATGAAGAGAGGCTCACCTGCACACTCCTTTGTCCAGGGAGCAAAGGAGGAGTGAGAGAGGATTGAGAGAGGAAAGGAGAGGAGAGAGATATACCTGTGAGCTGTTCACCCTCATATGACTGGGAGCCAGAGAACAGAGCATGAGTCATCAAATAGAATAAACTCCAGGTTGCTTAGTGTTGATTTGTAGAGACCAATGAGACCTGATTACTTCTGAGGTGAACATTATTGCTCTACATTGTTCATAAAACACATCCATATCACACACCATGGGACACACGTGTAATCCCAACGCACATAGAAATCCATCTGGTGTATAATCAATAACAATCATCAGAGGATTGCAGTGATATATCATGGTGACATCTGCAGTGATGAGGTGCCAAGTCATTGATATTACCTTAAGGAATTTGTGAAGTAGGAAGGCAAACCAATTTGTCAGCATCTTCTCTGCAACTGACTCGGTTCTGCAAGAAAGGAACAGACAGATACATCTTTAAGAGAGAGATGTCGGAACGTAGAGTGGTCTGACCATTTAGGTAGAGAGAATGCCTAAGAGGGACAGTAGACAACCAAATGTTTATGTAAAAGTACCATACTGCTCTGCATGGTCTCAGAGGACTAACTCACCAGAACCTGAGTGCCGCTGCTATAGAACAGAACCTATTTGGGGCATGACATAATTGTGCAAACGCTACTTTCTGACCACTTTCTGTCCTTTCACTGTGTCAGCAGCACTCATCCCATCATCAAATGCTGTATGGGCAAGATAGTGATTTATTATGTATCAATAGATACACTAAAACATACTTGTATGTTCTATCTGATAAAACATTCAAAGATCTAATTGTTAAATATTAACCTTTTGCCTCCCTTTAGAGTTAATACTATAGCTCCATTGCAGCCTCCTTACTTGCTCATCTCTTTCCTTCTCGAAAGATGGTGCCGATATACATGGCAGCTCTGCTTCTAGCTCCTAGGTCCTGCTCACTGCTCATTCTCATGCATATACCTGGCCGTCACTTCTTTCCCATTGCCTGCATTCCGTTATCTTTGGGATTCTTTTTGTGAGTGCAGAATGTTTGGGCTAACAAGGTCAGCCTTGCTGGCTCCCATGTTAACACATCCCTATATTTAAAGAGTGTGTCTCAGATTGAGTGCCTCCTGTGAAAGATTTAGCAGGCTTCTCCCAGTCCTGGGAAAACAATGTGCAGAATAAAGTGAGGTGGAGGGGAGGAAATGTGAGCTACAGCTGAATGTTTCATGAGTGGCACATAGAGGATAAGTCAGACTGACAATGGCTGTCTACACTCACGCTCTCTTGCTTTCTTTCCATTTGTGACAGTTATTCTGTGTGATATTAGGTTCTCAGCATTCAGAAAAACAGGTGACAAGCGTTCTCTGTCTGTACCTGCGCAGCAGTAGTTTAGGGTGGTTCTTGCTCTCCAGGTTGCGCTCTATGAGGTCAGAGAGGAGGTGTTTGAGCACGTCTGTGGCGTACTCCAGGCGGCCCTGCAGCGCAGTCATGATGAGCGAGGCCACGTAGCCGCGGTCACGCATGGAGAAGGAGCGCTGGAGCTCCAGAGTATGGATAAATGTCAGCAGGAACACTTTGTTATCCACCAGCTGGGCAAATTGCTTCAGAGCCTTCTCCACACCCTGCTGCCCGCTCCCAGACACCTACACACACACAGAGACACACACAGAACCCTCCGTTAGAGAGTGATCTTGCGTGGGGTATATAATCTGTTTTTGTCTCACAAAGTATTTGTCGATTTATAGGCATATTGGATGTATTTGTTAGATGTTCTGATTCTACAAATAATGCACAGTTACAGTAGATGGCAAGGGGACAGGTGTGGCCAGGTTTGTAATGGTGGTAATTGTTGGTTACCTCCAGCTCCCTGAGTACAGGATGGTCATCAAAGCCAGGGAAGAGGACCCTCATGGTATAGGTGCGGTAGTCCAGGTGGGGGATCCCAGCCCTGTCCAGGTCACTGGTCAGCTCGTTGATGTCAGTCTGCAGCTCAGCGAAAGCTGGACACAATTATAGAGGAATTTAGTCAATATTCAAGCTTTTTGTGAGTTATTAGCATTATATTGCTCTCTTGTATGGGCAGTTGAGATTGTCTGATAACATGTGCTGGTCAGACTCACCTTCCTTGCACTCCAGAGCCACCCGGGACTCCAGGTTGTCCATCTGCATCTGCAGGCGTTTGAGAGTGAGGTCATTCTCGTGCGACTTGCGTCTGTAGGCCAATAGGACGATGAAGACTATGATGAGCAGCAGGCCTCCTCCAGCCGTGATGCTGAATATGGCAGGCAGGGTGAGCAGGCTGTCTGAACGGATGTGGACTGCACCAGGAGAGATGTGGAGACCACCCACCTGGACCTTTACATAGACAATAAACGATAAACACACGTGTACATAGGCCATCATGCAAACTGTAACACATAGGTAAACCATACTGAATAATAGTTTCCTTTTTATATATTTGTTTGACCTTGGCCAAGCTGCATTTGACTTAAAGGCCCAGTGCAGTCAAAATTCAGTTTTTCTTGTGTTTTGTATCATATTGTATAACAGATGATGATAATAACACTGTAAAAGTCTGAAAGAATTTTATCAGTGTTATTTCCTGATAGTTGCTGGTTGAAAATGCAATCTACTCAAGACCTTCTAATCAGCAGGTTTTGCATGGGTGGAGTTTTGGCTTGCTTGGTGACATCACCAGGTGGTAAATTAAAAAGTTAAAAGACCAATAACAAAGAGAGTTCCAAACCTGTCTGCCATTAACAGCTAGATTTTCTGTTTTCCCCTCACCGTTCAGACCACTCCCAGACAGTCCTAGCAAAATTCTTCCTTAATTGTTACACAGAAATTATTTGATATAAAAACGGCTGCATTGGGCCTTTATTAGTTTATCTAGACCAGGATTAGACAGTCTGACAGACAAACTGACCAGGACTTTGTGCTGGCCTGTGAGGTTGGGCGGCTCACAGAGTAGCTGTGTGTCAGAGACGGTGAGGGTGCAGGGTGTGACCCCAATCAGCACAGTGTAGTTCAACCTGGCCCCGCCAGATGCCGAGGGCACCAGGTTACGCCCCTGCAACACAGAGAGGAAAACCCCACATCAGGTGAGTAGATAGAACACATCATCTTATGACAGTAGTGCTACAGAGTTATGGGCTGCTCTAGGCTGGGCGGTCCCACCTTGAGTATGATGGGGGAGCCAGGTTTCTGCTCCAGCACCCCAGACAAGCTGAGGGGCTCCAGGTAAGGATTGGGGTAGTAGATGAAACTGGTGCTGTTGTAGGTGAGCAGGGCCTGCACGTTGTTGAAGACAAAACCAAACTCCTCCACGTGTTTCACTGACTCCTGGTCCGGTGTGTACTCTGCCTTCAGGGAGGGAGCAAAGCAGCTTATCGTGGTGGTGTTGAGCACCTTACACACCTGGGGAGAGATCCAGGGACAGAGACAGACAAGCACAGAGAAATACTTGTCAAGACTTTTGAAATGACAATTAGAGTTGGCCACCATTTCTCAGGACTATAGAATATTCTGGACAGGGGAAAGAGATACAGTAATATGTTATCAGTGGACAGACTCACATTGACAGACTCGTGACCGGCATACTTGACCCTGACCCTCGGCTCCTGCACCACATCCAGGTTGGTTCCCGTCACCATCAGGGTAGTGTGTCCACTAGAAAATACAACACATACACCATTTTACACCTCCATATCGGCCTCTGAATAGGTGATCCAGGTTTCCTCGGCTTCCTGGGGTTATCAAAAGCACCTGACTTGCATTGAATTGTGCTTTTCAGCATAAATGCATCTTTGGTACCAGGAAAACATCTAATTGTTCTGGCCAGTTAGAACCAAGTGGAACAGTTCTGCCAGCTGGCTTCCTGTTTATTGATATATCAGGGATCCAAGGCTGGCATTTCATGAATGCTACCTGATTGTGTTGCATGTATTAACACAAACAAACTAGCTGTGATATCACTTGGACTACATGTAGAGCTCTGACTAAAGAGAGACCGACCTGAAGAGAAGAGAGAAACTAAATGGAAAAGTGGAACATCTGTCTAGTCAGCTTGAGATGGATCCAATCATTCCCACACTTCAAAGGGTACCTAAGCTTTGGTGGCCACATGGTGTGACTGCACACAGATGATGAGACGATGGGACTTTAATTATAAGTCTGTGAAATCCTCTGTCAGTTGACAGAGTAGAAAGCCACTAGCCACTACTCTGCACCACTTCTCCCTGGCTGGCTGTCTCTGTGTCCTCAAGTCACATCCAGCCCTGCACCAACTATCATCAAATCAAATCAAAATGTATTTGCCACATGCGCTGAATACAACAGGTGTAGACATTACAGTGAAATGCTTACTTACCAGCCCTTAACCAACAATGCAGTTTTTAAGAAAAGAACCAAAAAATAAAAAAGTGTTAAGCAAAAAAATTGATAAGTAAAAAATATCAAATAATAAGAGAAGCAGTAAAATAAAATAACAGTAGGGAGGCTATATACAGGGGGTACCGGTACAGAGTCAATGTGCGGGGACATCGGTTAGTCGAGGTAATTGAGGTAATATGTACATGTGGGTAGAGTTAAAGTGACTATCCATGAATAATAAACAGAGTAGCAGCAGCGTAAAAGAGGGGGTTGGTTGGGGGGGCAGTGCAAATAGTCTGGGTAGCCATGATTAGCTGTTCAGGAGTCTTATGGCTTGGGGGTAGAAGCATTTAAGAAGCCTTTTGGACCTAGACTTGGCGCTCCGGTACCGCTTGCCGTGCGGTAGCATAGAGAACAGTCTATGACTAGGGTGGCTGGAGTCTTTGGCAATTTTTAGGGCCTTCCTCTGACACCGCCTGGTATAGAGGTCCTCGATGGCAGGAAGCTTGGCCCCAGTGATGTACTGGGCCGTATCATGCATCATCTTTGACAGGAAGGCCAGCAGAGCAGATTGCTGTGGTGCCTTGCACCTTCACTCACCTTATCCCTCAGTAATAAACAGCTGAACCAAATGGGGGGAAAACATCAATAATTTATTAAAATATCAGTTTATTGCATACACAACTTCTTTGCTGGGGGGTTTGCTGTACCTAGTGATGCTCCACTCTGGCTCGATGCGCTGGACTGTGGGATCCTCAATGTATTCAAAGCTCAGGCTTCCTGGCACCTTGGCCAGATCCACATTGAGGCTGACCTGCACCAGGCCAGCGCCCGTCACAGAGGGGGCAGAGAAACACACGATCTCCGACATGGTCCGCCTGGGAAAACCAACAGGGAATACCAACAAGGTTAAACTCCTTTGATTCTGTCTGTGCCTACTCTTTACTGTGTGGGAATCTTAAATCTACTACAGAGTTATGCACATTACCATGCAGGGTGAGCGAGCACTGTCTCCACAGCCTCTTCCTCGCTAGAGACACGTTAGAGATGAAATTATTTCTAGCTAATGGTGCCTTTTCTTCACACTCCTGACTCTCACGAGGGCCTTTTTGATCTTTATCAAATATCAACACTTCTGGGTAACAGGATCGGATCCTTTTGTTCAATTTTCGCCTAAAATGACATACCCAAATGTAACTGCCTGTAGCTCAGGACCTGAAGCAAGGATATGCATATTATTGATACCATTTGAAAGGAAACACTTTGAAGTTTGTGGAAATGTGAAACTAATGTAGGAGAATATAACACATTAGATCTGGTAAAAGATAATACAAACAAAAAAAACATGCGTTTTCTATTTTTTCTTTTGTTCCATCATCTTTGAAATGCAAGAGAAAGGCCACAATATAATATTGCAATTTAGATTTTGGCCACTAGATGACAGCAGTGTGTGTGCAAAGTTTCAGATTGATCCAGTGATGCGTTGCAATACTGGATTATTTTGTATCAAGTCTACCCAAATGTGCCGAATTGGTCAATTGATACATTTTCAAGTACATAACTATAGAGAACATACAAAAATGATATGGTAATACAAAATGTAAGTTTACACACTCCCAGGAATGTCATACATGATGGATAATTAGCTTATACACTAACTTTCACACATCTACAGTTGAAGTCGGAAGTTTACATACACCTTAGCCAAATACATTTAAACTCAGTTTTTCACAATTCCTGACATTTAATCCTAGAAAAAAATTCCCTGTCTTAGGTCAGTTAGGATCACCACTTTATTTTAAGAATGTGAAATGCCAGAATAATGGTAGAGAGAATAATTTATTTCAGCTTTTATTTCTTTCATCACATTCCCAGTGGGTCAGAAGTTTACTTACACTCAATTTGGTAGCATTGCCTTTAAATTGTTTAACTTGGGTCAAACGTTTCGGGTAGCCTTCCACAAGCTTCCCACAATAAGGGGTGAATTTTGGCCCATTTCTCCTGACAGAGCTGGTGTAACTGAGACAGGTTTGTAGGCCTCCTTGCTCGCACACGCTTTTTCAGTTCTGCCCACAAGTCAGTTCGTCAAATCTCTACCCTGCTAGAGCTGCCCCGGTCCAATGTAAGTGCTGTTATTGTGAAATGGAAACTTCTAGGAGCAACAATGGCTCAGCCGCGAAGTGGTAGGCCACACAAGCTCACAGAACGGGACTGAGTTGCAACACTCACTACCGAATTCCAAACTGCCTCTGGAAGCAACGTCAGCACAAGAACTGTTCATCGGGAACTTCATGAAATGGGTTTCCATAGCCGAGCAGCCTCACACAAGCCTAAGATCACCATGCACATTGGCAAGCGTCAGCTAGAGTGGTGTAAACCTCGCCACCATTGGACTCTGGAGCAGTGGGAACGCGTTCTCAGGAGTGATGAATCACGCTTCACCGTCTGGCAGTCCAACAGACAAATCTGGGTTTGGCGGATGCCAGGAGAACGCTACTTGCCCCAATACATAGTGCCAACTGTAAAGTTTGGTGGAGGAGGAATAATGGTCTGAGGCTGTTTTTCATGGTTCGGGCTAGGCCCCTTAGTTCCAGTGAAGGGAAATCTTAACGCTACAGCATACAATTAAATTCTGGACGATTCTGTGCTTCCAACTTTGTGGCAACAGTTTCGGGAAGGCCCTTTCAGCATGACAATACCCCCGTGCACAAAGCGAGGTCCATACAGAAATGGTTGTCGAGATCGGTGTGGAAGAACTTGACTGGCCTGCACCAACTCCATATTAATGCCCATGATTTTGGAATGAGATGTTCGACGAGCAGGTGTCCACATACTTTTGGTCATTTAGTGTATATAAAACACAGGAAATTCATGTATTTGACTGTACAGGGCCTTTTTAAAGAGGTCCCCAAAAAATAAGAGTAGAGAACAATGCACTGTCCTAGCTTTGTCTTTCCACAGGCACTTTCATCAAGTCCCCACTTTTATATAAGGGTCTTTGTAGGAGCTTCAGTAGAGGGTTCTCTTTTGGCCTTCTCCTCTGCACTCACCTGTACAGCTCACAGGTCTGGTTTCCAAAGGTAACGTTCACTCTGCTACCAGCACCCAGGTTCTCCCCCACAATGGTGACCTTAGTGCTCCCAGACTCAGGCCCTCGGCAAGGGGTCAGTCCCACCATGGTAGGGGTCTGGGAAAAGAGCATTTTCTCAATATTCCACATGGCATGGTACTTTGTGAACTCTGTTGTCGATGACTCATTTAATAGTGTATGAGAGCAAACTGTTCCAGAGCAATAATACTGTAGTAGAGAGATGTGTTCTATATATGGTTCAAGATGCAGATCATACCACAAAGGAGTAGAGCTGGGAGGACTGAGTTCGTAGTTCTGGTCTACATTCACCAACACACAGCTGGACTGGACCAGGTGCACTTCCCTGAGATGTAGAGTCCATCTCACACACAATCCTGTCAAGACACACACATAGAGAGGGAGAGTAATTACTTTGCTGTACACATTTTTCAAGTGAACAAAAAGTGATATTTTCTGTTGGTCTCTCCTGTCAATGTGATTGAGGCAGACTTTCATAGTAGTGGTAGGTCAATATGGAAGGCCATCTTTCTTCCTAATGGAAAACCAATAGCACCAATAGAATAGCAATGATAAACTACACCCCATCTCTACCACCCACCATTACCTCGGTCACCATGGCAACAATGTGTTCTCCATAAATTAGTTAGCCTGTCAGATAAAGTACGCATTGAATAAGTCATTATAAAAACTGACCTACAGTAAAAATAATGGTTGTAATGCCATGCTTTAAAGCACTATGTGGGGCCTAAATGAGTAGTCCCAGAAATGTCTTAGGGATAAACCTTTCACCCCTACAATAACAGGACCCAATGAATCCTCTTCTCGCCACACTCTGCTATGTCAGTTTTCCAATTTTCTGCTGGCATGTTCCTTTATACAAGGATATAAATAAGGGGCCCTCAGCCATGGACCAATCGAATGACATGGCTGTGAGAGAAACATATGGCTTACAGATTGTCCCTGCAGGCAGTGACATGCAGCGCATTTCAATTACAGCGGTGCCATCAGCCTCGCAGAGACACACAAAACAGCTCTGCTCGCTACTCCTCAGTACACTAAAGCAAGCCTGCTGCAAGCTGATTATCTTTATCTCTATCATTGGTTGTATTCTTTGTGGGTGTGTGTGTGTGTGTGTGTGTGTTTGCGTGTAAGTGTCTGTGTGTAAGTGCCTGAGTGAGTGCATGCATGTGTGTCTGGGTGCTTCTGTGCGTGTTGGTTCTTACTGTTCTGCAGTGATGTAGCCCTCTTCCTGTGGAGTGCAATGTACCCCTGCCACCTCCACGTTCCCCAACAGTTCTGAGAAGGACAGTCCCAGGTTCATGCCCTGTATGGTGATCAGTGTTCCCCCCTCTGGAGGCCCTGCCACTGGGCTCACCTACAGGGAGGAGACAGTGGCATGGAGAAGTGCGAGATTTAGAACACTTCAGAACACTGTATATTACTGTTTCAAGTGAGAAGATAAAATAATAGGTAGAAAACATATAAATCAGAAATCATGCGGTTCAAATACAGCCTTTAAGTAATATTCCATGTGTAGGCCTTGTAGTAGCACAGAAGTAGAGTTACATTTTCGAAACATGACAACTTGCACTGCATCACTATGTACAAAGATAACTATTCAGAAGCTCTCCTTAAAATGGCTTGACCACACAAAGACCTTTCAGGTCTGTAGCGCAGCTCTATCGCTGTTCCCAGCAGCAGGCAGTAGCTGCCCGGGTCTGAATCAATTCACTCCCAGACTGCCACTGAAACACTAATAATGTGACAGGGACTTCAAAGGCTTGTGGCTCTTTGAAGTGGGTGCAGTAGTTCTCTGTGTCTGTCTGACCCACTATGTCTCTCTCGTACTAAAGAAGGAGTTAGGGCCAAAAAGACTCACAAAATAGGCTGCATAGTGCATGGCTCATGGCTGCATTTATTTGGTTGCAGAGCTACTGTTGTACTCTACGTGGCACACGCTGTATGTCTGGTATAGTCCTTCCTTAATCGTGTTGTACTGATTTGAAGGAGGATATGATGCTCATGTCTAAGGACTCAATGGTTTTTACTGGTTATTTCTGAGAAGGCCTCTTATCACTATGATGGATAATGATGAACGTTAAAATAGAGGTTTGCAGGAAAAGGTAAGGGTCTGACTGATTATCTAACCGCGGTGATGCGTGGGTTGGTACACTTGACATTCCTGGCGGACAAGTTCAGCCAGCGGCTGGCGTAGGGGCTGATGGGTGGGCAGTGCTGCTTCATGGTGCAACGGCCTTCTCCACTGCACCAGCCACACTGGAACTTCCTCTCAGCCCGCAGACACATGCCACAGCTGTCCCGCTGGGCACCACACTTATACAGGTGCACTGTGGGATAGAGGAGGACTGCAGTTGAATTACATTCAGTGCTTGTATATTTGACAGTATTTAGATATTGACTGGCACTATTCTACAATCAAATACTGTTGGATTCTAACTTCTAACTTGAAATACCTTACACTATTAGAACTGAGTGGATGGAATCTACTGAGTGAGAAAGGGGAGGGCAGAAAGTTTACATTCTGTCAGAACATGTTATTGTTAAATCTCATGTATTCTATGGAGAGGAGAAGAGCAACGGTCTGGTTTCAGTCACAGATAAGGTAGGACAGCCGTGAGTTAGGAAGGAGTGAGGAAATTTGGGCCGAGGTCAGGTCAGATGGAGTGAGAAAGTACAGTCACCACTAAAGTCTTGCCTAGCAACAGAGATGTGTTGGCTGTCCAGATTTGCAAGGAGGAGACTCTGCATAGAAGTAGGGTATAAATATATGTGCTTGTGTAAACATGTCTTTGTCTTTTCAGCTGTTTGTCCCAGTGGGTGAATAAACTTGGTTTGAGCTTTGACTAGTTGTCCGTTAGTTTTTCACTCTGTTTGTCAGAACCTAAAAATACATAATCAAGCAGCATAATGGAAAGAGTTATACCAGTCAGAAACCAAAATGGTAAACACAAAAGCACAAATGATTGGTTAGTACTTAATAACACAGTAGAGCGTGAGTGCCATGTGAACTTTATCTGAAGGCAGAGTGAAAGCCTTGACGTGGGCTAGACCCCATCCATCCCAACAGAGTGAGTGTTTTCCACTCCTCAGCAATTGTAGGCAATGATGGATGGCGCAGGCACCTTTAATCTTCTCGGGATTGTCGATGATGAAATTGCCGTTCCAAACGATAGAAAGGTCCACCGCCAGGTCACTGATCCTTACACCCTCATAGATGTACTGAGAGAGAGAGAGAGAGAGAGAGGAGGCTTTTAACCACCTGTCATTTCCATCACCACTGTCTGCTCCTCTCCACTGTGACGGCCACATTGGGATAGGACTCTATGGGGACTAGAGAGGCTGTTCATCTAGAGCTGAGGAAAATGGGCGTTTCACTAGACGTGAGAGAGGAGATTGAGGTATAGATGCATTAACATGGAATGTGTGTCATGTAGTCTGTGCAGCCCTGTCTGCCACTCATCCTCACTGTCAACTATCTGAGAAGTTGGTCTCGACTCAAAATTGAGCCTCAAGGGAACCTATTATCTCCCTATTACAAAGACCTAGATGTATGTTTGAATGACACGGACATGTTAGGTTTCAGACATAAATTAAATGTCTGTTTTAGTCATTCCACTGCAGATAACCTACTTCTTATTTAATCAAGACATGGCATGACTGATATCATTTCAGTGGGATGAGATCAGATTTAGATTGCGCTCAGAGACTACCTCAGACGCAATTCACTAGACTAGAGATAATGGTCCTGGATAATGCACAGCCAGGCTGAGGCTGGTCCCAGGGGGAGTGTTAGAGAGGGTCACACAGTACATACTGAGCTGTTCTGACACTGCACGCTGGAGCTGTTAAAGCGCAGGGCGGTGATGCGGTGGTTGGTTCCCTGGACGTGGAGCACACACTCGTATCCACGCTGGCCAGACTGGGGTTGGGGAAGGTTCCGAGCCCTCAGGGTGATGGGTCTCACCTCCCCTGCTGGGATCAGGATCTCTCCAGAGTGCAGCAGCTGGGGGCAGTCCTGTAGAACGTACGCCAGGAGTCAAAGGTCAGACAACATCAGCAGGTTTCTATCGAGGTCCATTCAATTATAAAGATAGATTAAACACGGGTTAATGTAAACATGCGTTAATGTGCATTATAGAGAAAAAATGGTTAATCTGGTGTATGTTTATCCATAGCCATGTAGCTACCTCTGAGGCATTGACCCGGCCCTCCTGAAAGGAGCAGCTGGAGGGGTTGTGGGTACACAGGTTGCGGTATTTACACCAGTGGCAGCGGAAGGTACTGTTCACACAGGACAGACACCTGCAGGGCAGAGACAGAGGGAGGGACAGATGGACACGTTACACACGTCATATGACCAACCAGCCAACAGACATCCAAATGCTTCCAGAGACTCTGTGGCCAAACACATGCTCTTAGGGAACGTACGTTTCTAATGATCCATCTAAGATACAGTGCATGAAGAGAGCAGAGTTAGTTTCCTCAACATTGTACCACTAACGCATACTGTTAATACAGCAATGTTTCAGAGAGACCATGAGCACACAGTAAGTCAGTATGTTCTGTAACAGCTCTGCATTAATAGAGGTGGCCTGCCAGGCCTTTTCAGGAACAGGATAATTAATCATGGAGGCTGATCTGATGCTGCTGTGCTGTGTGAGGAAGAGGGGGAGGGGAGAGAAGGGGGAGGCTGTTTAGACTGACATATTAATCACACTATAGACCAGAGAGGGTTGCTAGCTGCAAATGGACACCTCATTCTGATGAATTGGATGTGATGAGGCTTTGGACTACATTTCTATTATTTTAATATGTTAAAGTGGACCTGAATGTACCTGCCAGAGAGCTACACTACATGACCAAAAGTATGTGGACACCTGCTCGTCGAAACATCGCATTCCAAAATCATGTGCATTAATATGGAATTGGTCCCCCCATTTGCTGCTATAACAGCCTCCACTCTTCTGGGAAGGCTTTTCACTAGATGTTGGAACATTGCTGCGGGGACTTGCTTCCATTCAGCCACAAGAGCATTAGTGAGGTCCGGCACTGATGTTGGGCGATTAGGTCTGGCTCACAGTCAGCGTTCCAATTCATACCAAAAGTTTTCGATGGGGTTGAGGTCAGGGCTCTGCAGGCCAAGTTCTTCCACACCGATCTCCATAAACCATTTTTGTATGGACCTCACTTTGTGCACGGGGGCATTGTCATGCTGAAACAGGAAAGGGCCTTCTCGAAACTGTTGCCACAAAGTTGGGAGCACAGAATCGTCTAGAATGGCATTGTATGCTGTAGCGTTAAGATTTCCCTTCACTGGAACTAAGGGGCCTAGCCCAAACCATGAAAAACAGCCCCAGACCATTATTCCTTGGCACTATACATTGGGGCAGGTAGCGTTCTCCTGGCATCTGCCAAACCCAGATTCGTCCGTCGGACTGCCAGATGGTGAAGCGTGATTCATCACTCCAGAGAACGTGTTTCCACTGCTCCAGAGTCCAATGGCGGTGAGCTTTACACCACTCCAGCCGACGCTTGGCATTGCACATGGTGATCTTAGGCTTGTGTGCGGCTGCTCGACCATGGAAACCCATTTCATGAAGCTCCCGACGAACAGTACTTGTGCTGACGTTGCTTCTAGAGGCAGTTTGGAACTCGGTAGTGAGTGTTGCAACCGAGGACAGACGATTTTTACGCACTAAGTGCTTCAGCACTCGGCGGTCCCGTTCTGTGAGCTTTTGTGGCCTACCACTTCGCGACTGAGCCGTTGTTGCTCCTAGACGTTTCCACTTCACAATAACAGCACTTTCAGTTGACCGAGGCAGCTCTAGCAATGATGAACTGACTTGTTGGAAAGGTGGCATCCTATGACACTGCCATATTGAAAGTCACTGAGCTCTTCAGTAAGGCCATTCTACCGCCAATGTTTGTCTATGGAGATTGCATGGCAGTGTGCTCGATTTTATACACCTGTCAACAACGGGTGTGCCTGAAATAGCCGAATCTACTAATTTGAAGGGGTGTCCACATACTTTTGTATATATAGTGTAGATGCTGCCTTGCATGGCTCACAACTACAATGCTCAAGCTTGGTCTGTCTGCAAATTCAGAGCGGGGTTCACAAATGAATACATATGATACGAAATGTAACATATCATTCTAAATGGAGTGTCCCGGATTTACGTACAGAATAATATGCAGGTTGTTCTACCAGCAATACACAAGAGCTGTACATTTATTTACACACTTAAAAAGATTTCCATCTCTTTGGAGATTGAATTTAATCTGCACTGTGAGATTCTGGAGGGGTTATCTAAAACCTCTTAAACGTAAGTAAATGTAATCGAAAATGTAATCTACGTAATCCCCGAAAGTTATTATTTATTATGAGAGGGCCATAAATAACCACTTTTTCCTCAGGGAACCAGTCTAGAAACAAGCTAATAATGCGGGGTTGACTGCCTAAGGTTGACCTAAATCTGAACTTAGGGGTTACCTATCTGCCTGAACTTAAGTGGGGTTGCGTACATCAATGTCCTTAATGAGGTTGTACTCTACTATCTATTGAATGGATCAGATAATGTGTGGGCCGGGAGTGTTGTACTCACGTGTGATGCATGCTGCAGTTATAGAACTTGACCTCTGTACTGCCCAGCATTTGACCTGTCTCCTTAGAGTTCAGACGCAGCTCCACACCCAACCAGTCTGGTAGATAGAGAGAGGGGGGGGGTTTAAGGATTCATCTGATTTTGAGTATATCTATGGATCTCCAGGTTTTTGGTTATACAGTGGTTGGCTTTATTCAGACTGCTGGTCCTCTGTAAAAGAGGTCACATCTGTATCACTGAGGAACACAGAGAAATAGGCTCTATATTGGAGCTATATCTTTTCTCACCTTGTCCTTCAGGTATGTGTGGGACCTCCTTGCCAGACGGGGACAGACACATGACTCTGTTGCCGTTGACATGACCCTCCATCTCTGCCTGCTCTCCAAAGGCACAGCTGATCCCAGCTGAGAGGTCAGGCACATTGCTCACCTCCAACAGGAGCTATATGAGAGAGGGATAGCTGGTTTGGAACAGTCTGGTCTGTCATGAAAAACTCAGGACCACTTCCCACCATCAAGACTCAGAACATGTAAGAATCAGTTAAAGAATGAACGGTTAAGATTTGACTCACGGGCACACTGTGTGCTGACACGGCGATGCTGGCTGGGTGAGCGATAACCTTCACACAACGTTCGATATCAGTGGCGAACCGGAAGGGCTCCTCTGCTCTCTGACACTGGTCTCTTCTGGCACACCTATGGGTGGGAACCAGGACATTATTAATTCTTACAAAAACATTGCACTTAAGACAATGAAAGGCTCTCAAGGTTGCATCTCTCAGCGATCGCGCTTCCTCTTGACAAGGATTTAACAATAGAGCGTGTCTCTCTTTTACATGTGTAATGCACACTGTGGGATGAGACAGTGCTTAATGAACTCTCAGATGTTGTCAAGGGTGACATCTCACGAGAGCCTTCAAAGCGCACAGAGACCTCAACTGTAATTACAAGACAATGAAGGCAGAATGGATGGTTGTTGTTCCTGCCGTCTCCTTGATACAGCCTGTATCCACAGGGAGAATAGACAGTAACTTTTTGGCCTCTCATTAATTGAAGTGCCTCTGGATAGCCATTTCATCCCAGACGCCCTTTCATTCCCTTTTATCTCATCTCCTCCTCCATGTTATGTTTGATAGAGCTGTTTGTTATCCTGTCCTAGCCCCTTAGACATTAACACACCACACACACACTCCTCTGTAGGGCACATGGAGCTTTACCTCCACATGCTTTGGGTGGGCATATACAGTGACTGCATGTTGCATTTTCTAACTCCCTGTTTGACTCTGGAGAGACAAGTTGAATTTTTAATTCAGGCAATAGTAGCTAGATTGTGAATAGTAGCTCATGGAAGTGGCATGCATACAGGTATAATAGTGGGACTTGGAGTAGAAACTGCACTAAAGAAAACTAATTACGAATAAAGAAACAAAAATTTAAACGCAACATGCAGCAATTTCAAAGATTTGACTGAGTTATAGTTCATATAAGGAAATCAGTCAATTGAAATAAACAAATTAGGCCCTAATCTATGGATTTCACATGACTGGGAATACAGATATGCATCTGTTGGTCACAGATACCTTTAAAAAAAAGATAAGGGCGTGGATCAGAAAACCAGTCAGTATCTGATGTGACCACCAAATGCCTCATGCAGCGCGACACATCTCCTTCGCATAGAGTTGATCAGGCTGTTGATTGTGGCCTGTGGAATGTTGTTCCACTCCTCTTCAATGGCTATGCGAAGTTGCTGGATATTGGCGGGAACTGGAACACGCTGTCGTACACGTCAATCCAGAGCATAACAAACATGCTCAATGAGTGACGTCTGGTGAGTATGCAGGCCATGGAAGAACTGGGACATTTTCCGCTTCCAGGAATTGTGTACAGATCCCTGCGACATGGGGCCGTGCATTATCATGCTGAAACATGAGGTGATGGCGGCAGATGAATGGCATGACAATGGGCCTCAGGATTTCGTCACAGTGTCTCTGTGCATTCAAATTGCCATCGATAAAATGCAATTGTGTTCGTTGTCCGTACCTTATCCCTGCCCATACCATAACCCCACCACCATGGGGCACTCTGTTCACAACGTTATCAGCAAACTGCTCATCCACACGACACCCACATGACGCCATCTGCCCGGTACAGTTGAAGCCGGAATTCATCCGTAAAGAGCACACTTCTCCAGCGTGCCAGTGGCCATCGAAGCATTTGCCCACTGAAGTCGGTTACGACGCCGAACTGCAGTCAGGTCAAGACCCTGGTGAGGATGACGAGCACGCAGATGAGCTTCCCTGAGAAGGTTTCTGACAGTTTGTGCAGAAATTCTTCGGTTGTGCAAACCGACAGTTTCATCAGCTGTCCAGGTAGCTGGTCTCAGACGATTCCGCAGGTGAAGAAGCCGGATGTGGAGGTCCTGTGCTGGTGTGGTTACACGTGGTCTGCGGTTATTAAGGCAGGTTTGACATAATGCCAAATTCTTTAAAACGACGTTGGAGGCGAACATTAAATTCTCTGGCAACAGCTCTGGTGGACATTCCTGCAGTCAGCATGCAAATTGCACGCTCCCTTTTATTGTCCCCAGCACAAGGTGCACATGTGTAATGATCATGCTGTTTAATCAGCTTCTTGATATGCCACACCTGTCAGGTCGATGTATTATCTTGGCAAATGAGAAATGCTCACTAACAGGGATGCAAACAAATTTGTGCACAACATCTTTGAGAAATAAGCATTTTGTGCATATGGACAATTTCTGGGATCTTTTATTTCAGCTCATGTAACATGGGACCAACATTTTACATGTTGCGTTTTTTTATTTTTGTTCAGTATAATCCATTCTGTGTTTTGCTAGTCAAGTAGGGTGATAAGATGCTCTCCAAGAGCTGCAATTTAGATAATGATGATCGTAGAGATTGCTGAAATGCAAATGCCAAAAAATACAGCATATTACATTCTTTCTGAGGTCTGTTTCAGGACATTTCCAGAAACATTGCCTGGGTTTTAATCTTCTGAATCCCTTCTGGTCTGTCCTGTTCTATTACGTAAGCTAACATGCCGGTCAGATAATTAAGATGTAAAAGTTAAGCCCACTCTCTCAAAGACTGAATTGTTATAGAGGTTGCAGCAGCCCAGTGGGTTACCCTGTCTACTCCCTGTAATCCCTCTATACTCTGTGCCCATTATCTCATTCTGTCCCCCCATACTAGCAGTGACAGACAGTCTGTCTATATCTGTGTGCTCAATAGCACCATTTTCTATTGGAGGGATTTTATAAACTCTTACTGGTAAGTTATGTGATTGGTGTTTTAAACCATGGTCATCGTGCCTTTTTAAGTGTAGTGTGGTAGTGGACTTACATGTTGAGCAAGACACACCAGCCGCAATGAGGATCCCCAGAGCTCAGACACTCTCCGCAGGTCCCATATTGCTCACATGCCTCCACTGGGACCTTGGTCACCTAAAACACAACAGAGGAAGGTTTAGATGCAGCACAGAGGCCATGGAGGCTACAACATTCACATACACATAGATATGAGTAGCATGTCATTTACAATTAGTGTAAAACATATTGCTCTATATAATTGCTTCATGACTTGTTTAGCTGGTTAATTGTGTGTAGTATGTGATAAATGTCATGTATCCACTGAAATAGTGTATTTCCTGTTGGCTTGACCCATGAAACACAGTTTACATGATCTAAGGAAATGGAGAAAAGCCTGGTAGTCTGTGAAATCAGATTGATTCAGCTGATTGATTGTGGGGGGTTCAACAGAGAACGTAGCTCTGGCAAACAGGCTGAGAAAGGAGAAAAGCCACAGCAAATATAAGCCTGACCTCCATGGGTGAGCTCACAGCCTAGATCAGCCTACACACATACACACACACACACACACACACACACACACACACACACACACACACACACCACCACCACCTCTCTGTGAGGACACCTGGCAAAGCATACGCTCTCCATTAGCTGCTGTGACAGACATTGCAGTTGAGTGGGCAGCGCCAGCCAGTGCATACACAAACAGGTTGAAGCTTTGCTATTTTATACTTGATTATTCTCCCCCTTGACGGACCATGCAAGCAATTTCCTGATGTAAGCAATCACAAATGAAGAGTGGATTATGGATTAGAGCGTCTCCGCTGCACTTGATAGCGTAAGTGGGTTCTCTCCCAGGTCTGTGTTAGCAAATCTGATTATCTGCCACTTCCCGCAAAATCATTTTTTCTTTTTTTAAGAGTTCAGAACACATCCAGTGCATTCTATTAGCAAAATGATTTTGAGAAGGGATGGACGGGGGGGGGGGGACGGGGTGGGGGGGGCGGGGGGGACGGGGGGGGGGGGGGGGGGGGGGGGGGGGGGGGGGGGGGGGGGGCAGGCAAGCAAGAGAAAGTGAGAGGGAGAGAACTATGGATGGTTATAATAATGGTGTGGTATGTTATTATTAAGTCATATACTCTGATCCACTCTGCATCTGTCAGCTTTAGCTATATTATGCAATTCTCATCATCTTATATCATGCTCTTACAGCAGTTTCCCCTATATTAATTTTAAAAAGTGTTTAAAAAAAAGTATATATATTTCTGCTGAGACGCGCTTTTAAATGGATAGTCATTGGCTCAATGACTGGAAGTCTATGGGAACAGCTAGCATGTCATTGCGCTAACGCTAGTAATGCGATTTCCCCTCTGCCTTCAAAAGTTGTCATTGTCAATGAAATGTAAGTGTTAAATGTGAATTCAACTGACCATATCCATCAACCATCAGCTTATTATGTGTCTAGTCGATCTGCTGGGTGAAGGTGAGTGGGAGGACAGACAGAGGGCACTAACGGACATGGCTAGAGGTTACTCTCCTCCCTGACCTGTTGTGTTCACAGCTGCTGACCCCTTGACAGGGATAACAAAAGGTTTAAGGACGGGTCAGGGGGAAGCCAGGACAGAGACTGATAACCCTTCCTGTCCAAACAAGCTCACACAAAGTCAGACCAAACCACACTCAACAAAAAGCACAGAAACGAAGCATTTTCTCCTCTGCCTTTGGCCCTTGATGAGACGGGTCACGGGTGCCTCTATAACAGGGCTCTCTGACCCTGTTCCTGGAGCGCTACCCTCCTGTAGGTTTCGATTCAACCCCAGTTGTAACTAACCTGATTCAGCTAATCAGTCAGCTAATTATTAGAATCAGGTGTGCTAGATTAGGGTTGGTGCGAAAACCTACAGGACGTTAGCACTCCGGGAACAGGGTTGGAGAGCCCTGCTCTATAAGCACTACAGGCAGCCTCGTATGTACGATGTGTAGCCTGTATGATGATGTTTCATTTCACCTGGGTTATAGCTATTGCCTTCAGGTTAATTATACTGACTAAAAGGGAAATAAGAGGGGAATTTGTTATCTAATGTGTCCTAAACAATGGTACTCTCAGAGATGGAGTTATACACAAAACACCAAATGTGAAACTGGGGGATTTGAAGGAATTAGAGTGAGTATTTCACATTTTACAGTGCAGCACTTGTAGAGAGATTGCCCCTCTGACCCCATGCTACAGACAGACCATTACAATTCAATGAAGTGTACAGTTGAAGTCGGAAGTTTACATACACCTTAGCCAAATACATTTAAACTCAGTTTTTCACAATTCCTGACATTTAATCCTGGTAAAAATTCCCTGTTTTAGGTCAGTTAGGATCACCACTTTATTTTAAGAATGTGAAATGTCAGAATAATAGCAGAGTGATTTATTTCAGCTTTTATTTCTTTCATCACATTCCCAGTGGGTCAGAAGTTTACATACACACAATTAGTACTTGGTAGTATTGCCTTTAAATTGTTTAACTTGGGTCAAACGTTTTGGGTAGCCTTCCACAAACTTCCCACAATAAGTTGGGTGAATTTTGGCCCATTCCTCCTGACAGAGCTGGTGTAACAGAGTCAGGTTTGTAGACCTCCTTGCTTGCACACGCTTTTTCAGTTCTGCCCACAAATGTTCTATAGGATTGAGGTCAGGGGTTTGTGATGGCCACTCCAATACCTTGACTTTGTTGTCCTTAAGCCATTTTGCCACAACTTTGGAAGTATGCTTGGGGTCATTGTCCATTTTGAAGACCCATTTGCAACCAAGCTTTAACTTCCTGACTGATGTCTTGAGATGTTGCTTCAATATATCCACATAATTTTCCTTCCTCATGATGCCATCTATTTTGTGAAGCGCACCAGTCCCTCCTGCAGCAAAGTACCCCCACAGCATGATGCTGCCACCCCTGTGCTTCACAGCTGGGATGGTTTTCTTTGGCTTGCAAGCGTCCCCCTTTTTCCTCCATACATAATGATGGTCATTATGGCCAAACAGTTCTATTTTTGTTTCATCAGACTTGCGGACATTTCTCCAAAAAGTACGATCTTTGTCCCCATGTGCAGTTGCAAACCGTAGTCTGGCTTTTTTATGGCGGTTTTGGAGCAGTGGCTTCTTCCTTGCTGAGCGGCCTTTAAGGTTATGTCGATATAGGACTCGTTTAACTGTGGATGTAGATACTTTTGTACCCGTTTCCTCCAGAATCTTCACAAGGTCCTTTGCTGTTGTTCTGGGATTGATTTGCACTTTTCGCACCAAAGTATGTTCATCTCTAGGAGACAGAACGCGTCTCCTTCCTGAGCGGTATGACGGCTGCGTGGTCCCATGGTGTTTATACTTGCATACTATTGTTTGTACAGATGAACGTGGTACCTTCAGGCGTTTGGAAATTGCTCCCAAGGATGAACCAGACTTGTGGAGGTCTACAATTTTTTTTCTGAGGTCTTGGCTGATTTCTTTGGATTTTACCATGATGTCAAGCAAATAGGCACTGAGTTTATAAATAAAAATAAATTGGTCATTTAGCAGACGCTCTTATCCAGAGCGACTTACAGGAGCAATTAGGGTTAAGTGCCTTGCTCAAGGGCACATCGACAGATTTTTCACCTAGTCGGCTCGGTTTGAAGGTAGGCCTTGAAATACATCAACAGGTACACCTCCAATTGACTCAAATGATGTCAATTAGCCTATCAGAAGCTTCTAAAGCCATGACATCATTTTCTGGAATTTTCCAAGCTGTTTAAAGGCACAGTCAACTTAGTGTATGTAAACTTCTGACCCACTGGAATTGTGATAAAGTGAATTATAAGTGAAATAATCTGTCTGTAAACAATTGTTGGAAAAATTACCTGTGTCATACACAAAGTAGATGTCCTAACCGACTTGCCAAAACGATAGTTTGTTAGCAAGAAATTTGTGGAGTGGTTGAAAAACAAGTTTTAATGACTCCAACCTAAGTGAAGCAGGGATAGATGTTTCAACAAATAATCAACCTGAGGACATTCAACTATTATAAAGGTTTTTTAAAAATAAAATAATCTTCAACTACTTACACACACACACACACACACATACACATACACACTCCGTTCCTCTCCACTCTGCATCATCATGCTCGGCAGAAGACAGAGAGGCTCATTGTTATTCTGTGAGGGTCGCCTGATCTCAGTCAAATCTGTCTGTGCCTCGCTCCTCATTCCACATAATTTATCTATTGTTTTGCTCAGAGAAATCCAAAAATCCCCATACTCTGGGATCGGCTGGGAAAGCAGGAAATCTGAGAGAGTAGCCCAGCAAGCCCCTCTCCTCCTGGAATTCCTCTGTAAAGCTCTAGGAAGGCCTGATTTGGAATAAGCGAACAGGAGGAAGGCTTTACACCATTCCTGGCCCCTAGGGGCCAAAAGCCACACGCAGACTGTATGATTCCAATATTAGGAGAAAGAGAGTGGATGGCCATGGGCTGGTTTGGTTGGTTACATTCGTTCATGTTCTCATACTACAGTCCGAATGGGAAGAGTCTCTACTTGAAGGGAGCATGTGTGTCTCCTTGAACAACCAGGGCTCATCAATAAGTGATGTCCTGTCTCTTCCAGTCCATCACATTCTAGGAAGTGCTGCCTTGATTTCTATCAAGAGACACTTCTGTACAATGCCTGTGCCTGTTTCTCCCTCATTTCTCACAGAGATCCTCATTTCTGCCTTCACTTGACGTTTATAGATTATTTCCAGACACATTGAACTAATTTATGCCGCCTGTATTGTCCAAACACCCTCTGCCTCTTTGTCCATCAGTTTAGTCTCAAAATATATTCCAACAGTCGGGAGACAAGTGAGTGTAGCAGTGATAGCAGGACTTTGGGCCGTACTGAAATCTAATCCCATTACACAATGTCATGTGACTGTGCCAGAATAATCACTTGATGGGAGTTGAAAGTGATTACCACTGTTCCCTCTTATCTCCAAAGAGTCCAGAGGTTATCTACCAACAACAACTGCTCTGCTAGCTGCTGTGATGCTGGCCCAACTGGAGAACACCAAAAAACATCCACAAACCAATGAAATGTCTGGTTTTCAATGGGATGTGTGTAGCATGTAGATTAGAAGATACATGAAAGTCAAGTAATTTCTGTGGGATGTGTGTAGATGTATTGAATTGTAATGGTTTTCTATGGGATGTGTGTAGTATGAGATGCATGTTAGTCGGTGCACATGGGTGAGTAATTAGAGCATCTGTCCTTCTGTCTGAACATGCCCTGCATATTTTACACACAACCCAACATGAAGTGTACGTATAATATAATATCAGAGAAGAATTTAAAATGTACAGTAGTACCAAGATGTATGAAGAAGAGCCCAAGATCAAATATATCTTTAATATTTTCAATTCTCGTTATATACACTACATGACCATAAGTATGTGGACACCTGCTTTTCGAAAATCTCATTCCAAAATCATGGGCATTAATATAGAGTTGATCCCCCCTTTGCTGCTATAACAACCTCCACTCTTCTGGGAAGGCTTTCCACTAGATGTTGGAACATTGCTGCGGGGACTTGCTTCCATTCAGCCACAAGAGCATTAGTGAGGTTGGGCACTGATGTTAGGCGATTAGGCCTGGCTCATAGTCAGCGTTCCAATTCATCCCAAAGGTGTTCGATGGAGTTGAGGTCAGGGCTCTGTGCAGGCCAGTCAAGTTCTTCCACAGCGATCTCGACAAACCATTTCTGTATGGACCTCGCTTTGTGCAAAGGGGCATTGTCATGCTGAAACAGGAAAGTCCTTCCCAAAACTATTGCCACAAAGTTGGGAGCACAGAATGGTCTAGAATGTCATTGTATGCTGTAGTGTTAAGATTTCCCTTCACTGGAACTAAGGGGACTAGCCCGAACCATAAAAAACAGCCCAAGACAATTATTCCTCCTCCACCAAACTTTACAGTTGGCACTATTCATTCAGTCAGATGGCATTCTCCTGGCATCCGCCAAACTCAGATTCGTCTGCCAGATGGTGAAGCGTGATTCATCACTCCAGAGAACGTGTTTCCACTGCTCCAGAGACCAATGGCGGCGAGCTTTACACTCCAGCCGACGCTTGGCATTGCGCATGGTGATCTTAAGCTTGTGTGCGGCTACTTAGCCATGGAAACCCATTTCATGAAGCTCCCGGCGAACAGTTCTTGTGCTGACATTGCTTCCAGAGGCAGTTTGGAACTCGGTAGTGAGTGTTGCAACCGCTACACGTTTCATCACTCGGCGGTCCCGTTCTGTGAGCTTGCGTGGCCTACCACTTTGTGGCTGAGCCGTTGTTGCTCGTAGACGTTTCCACTTCACAATAACAGCACTTTCAGTTGACCGGGGCAGCTCTAGCAAGGCAGAAATTTTACGAACAGATTTGTTGGTAAGGTGGCATCCTATAACGGTGCCATGTTGAAAGTCACTGAGCTCTTCAGTAAGGCCATTCTACCGCCAGTGTTTGTCTATGGAGATTGCATGGCTGTGTGCTCGGTTTTTATACACCTGTCAGCAATGAGTGTGGCTGAAATAGCCGAATCCACTAATTTGAAGGGGTGTCCACATACTTTTGTATATATAGTGTATATAATACACATAACCCTGAGCCATAATAATGTTTGCTAATCATCTCTTTCTTTATTTTTCTTTTCATCAAAACTTTGAACCCATACAGTACATTACATCATTCTATTCATTACATCATTCTATTCATAGTAAAGGGTCTTATTAACCTATAAACATTTGCTTCTGATAAAGCAGGGAATGGGAGATTCCTCACCTGATTGTCAGACATGACGTAGAGAGAGTTGCGGTCCAGAGTGAAGGCCAATTCTCGGAGGATAGGACTGCCACCTGTCATCACGGTCAGGGTCTCATACTGCACCCCGCCCTCAGGAGGCCCATCCACTCGGATCTGGAGGAGAGAGAGACAGACATAGGCCTCGTCAATTACATCTGTTTGCTTGAAAATGAAATAAAGTGATGGTTTTGACCAAAGATACCTATGGATTACTGTAGTCTTAGCTTGGCTTTGTAATGTTGTCCCTAATCAATGATTAGTTAATGCTGTTACTGGTGATTGCATGTTTCTGGCTTGTTTTCAAGTTAACCAGACTCTAAAGATTTGACTTTGGCATGACTTTCAAACCACCACCTTTTTGGGGCTCATTAAAAGCATGCAGGCAGATAGGCGCCTACTTCCAAACAGAGAATTGAATTCCCTTCCCCTACCCCCTTCTGTCCAGTGGCCACATTTCCATTAATACACAGAAAACACTGCCCTCATTAGTAGGCTACATCAGACATCTGAATTGCTTCATACATAACAGTACATTATTATCACATCTACCCTGAGACTTGACTGAAAAAATGAATAAACCTTCAAATTCGACAACCGAGAGAGAGAAGATCCTCATTAAATGTACAATCTCAAGTTTAATGGCTGTTAAGAATTCAGCACACAAATATCATTCAATGTACTTTCTTAGATAAATACAATACTCATCTAAATATAGTATGACAGGTGACTAAGCAGAGGAATAGACATTAAGGAGCAGATGTGAGAAGCCCATAATAAACAACATATTCTCCATTCTGGACAGTACAAATCTGCAGCACCAAGCTCAGGTTGGACTTCAACAAATCTCCCTGTGTGACAGGACAGTGCACACAGCCACTGGCAGACTCACAATGCTCTCTCAATAGACACAGCAGCAATAATTACAAATGGATTACATGATTGGATCCCCTGGGCTCCAAAACTGCATCAATCAATCAACCCTTCCACCTTCCAGTCATAAGCCCTCTCCTGCAGGCTGGGCTCCCCACCAAAAACAAAGGGAAGTACAGAGAAAAACATCTCTTGGGCTGAGATGGGAGAATCCTACAGGACAATCCCTCTGTGACAAAGAGACCAACGCCTGGCAAGCAGCCCCAGAGCTGCAGTTATTTAGGGACACGGTCAGGGGATTCTCTCAGCAGGATCACCAGAGGATCACGGTGTCCACTCTGTCATTTAACCAGCTCTGTCCACCATTGATTTGACACTTTCAGCCACCTAACCAGTCACTCAATAGAAAGTTGTTCTCTTTAACTCCTCGTCTATTTAGTGGTTCCCTGCACCAAACCCCCCCCCCCCCCCCCCCCCCCTTACTTCCCCCTCATCCTCGGTCTCTCTTACCACAATCCCACGCAAAGTGGAGTCGGCTTCCATTCCATTTCCCACACTCCATAAATAGAAACCAAAGCTTGTACGAGTTCCACTTGCAAAATGTTATCGTAAATAAAACCCAAATTGTCCGTAGAGATATTGTGCCAGCGATATTTAACAGGGCATTAGGAGGTTGACCAGGGGCCACCATGGTGGACAGGGTCCAATTTATGAGCTCAGAGGAAATGGTGACCTTTTGACTGGCCCAGAGTTTGATTTCAATCCATTTATACATGGCTCTTACTGTATGTGCACACAAATATGTTTGCTCTGTCTTTGTGTGCAGTCTATTTTGCTGAACAGGAAGCATACACAGCAAATTTGAGATCAGAATTTTAACACCCACAGTGTTAAATGTAACACTTTCTTATTGTGTGTATATGTGACCCACTGAAATAGTCTTAAACTAACACTTTTCAACATTTTGACAAATCTACACCCCTAGAGTGTTGGTTTCCTAACACTATGGGTGTTGCAAATTCTAACTTAAATTAACACTTTATTAGAGTTGCTGCTGTTACACTTTTTTTGTGTTAGGGAATAACACATGTGGTGTTACAGTATTTTGAGGGGGTGTTGTTTTAACACTGTAGGGTGTATAGCCGTATTTGCATATTTCCCAGCATGCCTTTTTTGATTGAATTTGAGAGATATCCACCCATGACTGTGTTTGTTAGTGACAGAGACATGGTTGTTGCATTCAAAAACTTTTAGTCCTACAGTCTTCACCAAGTGACTACCTAAGGCCTTTAGTTATGCTTAGTTATCCTCAACATTGTGGTCTGAAAATCCTGGCTCATGGGCCACATCAGACCTTCAAGTCACAATATGCTGGTTTGTGAAGTGATTAGTAATCCTATCGGAATCCAGCCAGAGGGAGGATATCCAACAATTTGAATATTTTATCACCCACGACCTGCATTCAGAATGACTGCTATGGTGAAGGACTTAAAAACAATCTAAACTGGAATAACCGTCTCAGTAACAGGTGCGATCAATCAAACCCCTTACAGATTGGATTAGTTTAGAAAAATGTAAGTTATTTATCTTTGTATAGTATAAGACCAATTAATCAATGTGCATGCAGAAACATACAGTGAGGGGAAAAAAGTATTTGATCCCCTGCTGATTTTGTAAGTTTGCCCACTGACAAAGACATGATCAGTCTATAATTTTAATTAATTAATAATAATAATATTAATATGCCATTTAGCAGAAGCTTTTATCCAAAATGACTTACAGTCATGTGTGCATACATTTTTACGTATGGGTGGTCCCAGGGATCGAACCCACTACCCTGGCGTTACAAGTACCATGTTCTACCAATTGAGCTACAGAGGACCACAATGGTCCTCTGGACTTAATGGTAGGTTTATTTGAACAGTGAGAGACAGAATAACAACAAAAAAATCCAGAAAAATGCATGTCAAAGATGTAATAAATTGATTTGCATTTTAATGAGGGAAATAAGTATTTGACCCCTCTGCAAAACATGACTTAGTACTTGGTGGCAAAACCCTTGTTGGCAATCACAGAGGTCAGACGTTTCTTGTAGTTGGCCACCTGGTTTGCACACATCTCAGGAGGGATTTTGTTCCACTCCTCTTTGCAGACCTTCTCCAAGTCATTAAGGTTTCGAGGCTGACGTTTGGCAACTTGAACCTTCAGCTCCCTCCACAGATTTTCTATGGGATTAAGGTCTGGAGACTGGCTAGGCCACTCCAGGACCTTAATGTGCTTCTTCTTGAGCCACTCCTTTGTTGCCTTGGCCGTGTGTTTTGGGTCATTGTCATGCTGGAATACCCATCCACAACCCATTTTCAATGCCCTGGCTAAGGGAAGGAGGTTCTCACCCAAGATCTGACGGTACATGGCCCCGTCCATCGTCCCTTTGATGCAGTGAAGTTGTCCTGTCCCCTTAGCAGAAAAACACCCCCAAAGCATAATGTTTCCACCTCCATGTTTGACGGTGGGGATGGTGTTCTTGGGGTCATAGGCAGCATTCCTCCTCCTCCAAACACGGCGAGTTGAGTTGATGCCAAAGAGCTCGATTTTGGTCTCATCTGACCACAACACTTTCACCCAGTTCTCCTCTGAATCATTCAGATGTTCATTGGCAAACTTCAGACGGCCCTGTATATGTGCTTTCTTGAGCAGGGGGACCTTGCGGGCGCTGCAGGATTTCAGTCCTTCACAGCGTAGTGTGTTACCAATTGTTTTCTTGGTGACTATGGTCCCAGCTGCCTTGAGATCATTGACAAGATCCTCCCTTGTAGTTCTGGGCTGATTCCTCACCGTTCTCATGATCATTGCAACTCCACGAGGTGAGATCTTGCATGGAGCCCCAGGCCGAGGGAGATTGACAGTTCTTTTGTATTTCTTCCATTTGCGAATAATCGCACTATTATTGTCACCTTCTCACCAAGATGCTTGACGATGGTCTTGTAGCCCATTCCAGCCTTGTGTAGGTCTACAATCTTGTCCCTGACATCCTTGGAGAGCTCTTTGGTCTTGGCCATGGTGGAGAGTTTGGAATCTGATTGATTGATTGCTTCTGTGGACAGGTGTCTTTTATACAGGTAACAAGCTGAGATTAGGAGCACTCCCTTTTAAGAGTGTGCTCCTAATCTCAGCTCGTTACCTGTATAAAAGACACCTGGGAGCCAGAAATCTTTCTGATTGAGAGGGGGTCAAATACTTATTTCCCTCATTAAAATGCAAATCAATTCATAACATTTTTGACATGCGTTGTTCTGGATTTTTGTTGTTGTTATTCTGTCTCTCACTGTTCAAATAAACCTACCATTAAAATTATAGACTGATCATTTCTTTGTCAGTGGGCAAACGTACAAAATCAGCAGGGGATCAAATACTTTTTTCCCTCACTGTAGGTATTAAAACAAACTATTCCAAGAATCAACTTTCAACAAAGCATGCTGGCAAAATGATAATGAGGCCCCTCCCACGTCTTTTCCACTCTGAGAGAATTAACGGAAATGAACTCAACACAGTTGAGTAACAACAACATGCGGTGTTGATTTCACTGTGATTCAAATAACACTTAATTTACTTACTGCAAGTGGTGTCAATTACAATCCCACTGGTATTAACCCCACCTCAACACCAAGATTTTAACACTTACAAATTTGCTGTTTACTAATGATTTGGCTAAATGCCTTTTTCTACTCTAGTTTGTTTCGATTGTCTTTCCTTAAAGGGATAGGTCACCCAAATTACAAAATTACATGTTGGTTTCCTTACCATGTAACCAGTCAATGGACAAAGTATGACAGCAATCCATGCTTTGGTTTAGTTTACCTGGCACTGTTTCCAAATACTAACTTTTTAGCATTTGTGGCACAAATCCCATTCAAGTCATGGCACCGATATTAGCATTTTTCGCGCATCATGTGAAGCTCACCAAAGTCACTTATAGTCATTAAAATGTTAGCATTTGAAAACAGTGCCAGCTACTGACAGGGAAACTAAACCAAAGCATAGATTGCTGTCATACCTTGTACATAGACTGCTTACAGCGTAAGGAAATCAATGTGTCATTTTGTAATTTGGGTGAACTATCCCTTTAAATGTCCAAACTAACCTATAAGAGGAAATGCATTTCACTCCTGAATCATATTTAGACCTCCAACGGTGTGTTTTCCTTCCTGATACTGACAGAGGGAATTAATCTTAACCCCCTTAGAGACCAACATTGGATACAAACAAGAAAGTAAAATAACCCAAATAACTATTGGAATTTCATATGATCCCACGTAATTCTTAGTAATGAAAACAACCTGTTCCCTCCCAGCTCTATTTGCATGGTTTGCTGCTTTTTTCAGCTTCTCTCAGTGGTTGTGTGTCTGTGCTTCACAAACCTATAGGCTTAGATGTCATTTAAAAAATGGCTTAATGGGGTAGTTTGAAACTTGCAAGACAGCTTCCCGGAGTCTAATTTTTCTAATTTCTCCTCCTTTAAGTATAAACATGCGGGATGGATTATGAGATTATTATGATCAAGGAGTCAATTTGAAAGGGTTCTAGAAGAGGTACACATTAATGTACATAAATGTTCCTATTAGCTTTCCATTTCCCTGGAGGTTGGTATGAAAGGTGATCAGTTTACAGTACATGTCGTTGGCCTGCCAATCCCACAAAATGTGACCAGATGTGACTAGCATGGGCAAAGTGTGTTAAGTGTATCCTACCATATGGATAATAGACTGGGAGTAATCTCTTCAACTAGCCTATACGTTTTAGTCTAGTATCCACCCAGTCTCCCCTATTCCTTTGCCCCAGATACAGTATGGTAGTAGGGACAATAGAAACAAAGAATCATGACATTTTCCAAACATCTCTTTCTAAGAGACTGAAAAGGCCAGTACGTCTGGCAACCTCCAGGGTTGAACGGCTGTGTGTTTGGGCAAATTCTAGCAGACAGACTGGAGTGGACATTGATTAACCGTATGTTGGATTATGTTCTGTTTAAATGTATGTTTATTTATTGAAATATTTATTAATTCAGTTGAATGTATTTTTATGTTGCATTTTAAAATGTGTTTGAGTTCGATGCCAAAATTGCTCTGCTCTAACTGTATTGTACAAACTACACTTACGTTTATGTATATATTTTTTATTTTTTTATCATGACTTTGGTTGAATGCTGATGATGTGTCTGTCCTGCAGTGCCTAAAGGGAAACATGTTTACTGAGAGCCAAAGAGGTGGAGGTCTGTATTACACACCTGCTCTAATCAGTCAGACATTACATCACTGCTACTAAGAGAGCTGTATTGATCCCTAACATTGAACAAGCTGTATGTTAGCAAATGCAATTGCCAAACCTGATTACTAACTAGTCATAATGCACTCTAATTGTGTGTGTGTGTGTGTGTGTGTGTGTGTGTGTGTGTGTGTGTGTGTGTGTGTGTGTGTGTGTGCGTGTGCGCGTCTTAACCTGCATACTCATGGGTGTGTACTAAGTACAGTATATGTTTCAGTGTC